AAGTGGTTTACTACCACAAAGCCTGCCTGAGCAGGTCGCACGGTTTCCCCCCTTTGCCTCTCTCTGTCACAGCATGCCTGATCAGGCCGTGATGCTTTGCCCTCGTCAGTCTTACCCTCAGTAGTCCGTAATCGGATTAGCCGCAGAGGAGCATTATTCCTGCCCTGCAGATGGGAACCCAAGGCTTAGCCGGGGGATCTCCATCCCCGTTAGGTGTTGTTGGACGTCGGCCAGGGCTGGCAGCACCGCTGACAAGGTACCAGCAAATGCGGTTATCGGGTAATCCTTGCACCTACTCCGTAGCTCCCTACCAAAAACAGGGGGGAAGCAAAAAGGTGACTAAGAAAGGAAATGGAATGATTTTGTACCTCGCTCCAGAAAAACCAGAGGCTTGTTTACATAGAAGAACCCCTCTGGACTCAGCTGCAGGAGGGTGACAGCACGACTGTGGGTAGGATTTCTGTCAAACTTCTAACACTGAGGGTCTCTTTCTCCCCTTGAAGGAAGATGTGGATTCTTTTATGAAACAGCCCGGCAATGAGACAGCAGACGTAGTTCTAAAGAAGTTGGATGAGCAGTATCAGAAGTATAAATTTTTGGAACTTAATCTTGCTCAGAAGAAAAGGAGGTAAGTCATAATTTTTGCAGAATTGTTTAGCACAGCTCTATTTTTTAAATATGTTAATTTTTTAAAAAATATCCCAAGAAGTAAAAAAGAGCCAATATTTGCAGTCCTTTCAGGAAAGCCCAGTTTTTCCCTCTTCCTGAGAATTACATGCAAAAGAATTCAGAGTGTTGCTGAATTGGTCCGTAGCCTGTAAGGCCGAAAAGCACTGCTGGGTCTGAATTTTGTCAGCCCAGTGTGCATAAGAACACGTTGTTGTCCAGGGACAGCTGTACCAAGCCTGGAGCTCCTGGTTTTGTCGTGTCCCTTCGGTAGCTTCAGCCTGGATCTGAAACTGGGCAAGAAGAGCTCTTCAGAGCTGAAATCAAAGCTTCGAGGGATGTTTTGTTGAGATTAAATTTCTTTTGTGGACAGATAGCCCTGTGAACCCCCCGAGGGGGGCTGTGGCAGTCGGCGCTGCCTGGGCCTGCTGCCGCCGCGATGGGTGGCCGGGGAGGTCCGCGGCTCTCAAGGAGGGGTGCCCTGCGCTCCGGAGAGAGTTTTCATTTTGGCAACGCACCTCTGACCCGTTGGCTGGGACAGTCTGCGGGCCTCAGAAGACAGACTTGGTTTGGTTTATCTCTATTTCCGCTGAGCTGTCCCTCGCCCCGGGGAGGTGCGTTGCATTCTGCAGACGGGTGTCTTCGCGGCACCGCCTGCGTGTTCAGCCTGAGCGCTGCGTGTGCGGCTGCGCTCGGGACGCCCAGCCCGCCGCAGCGGGGCGAGGGGCAGGTGAGGCTGGAGATGAGGTGCCTGGACAGGCCACGTCTTCCAGACGTGCGTGGGTGAGCCTGTCAGGGGTTTCACGTTTTAGAATGTTGGGTTGTGTAATAAAACTGATGGCTTGTTTGGGAAACTTTGTGTCTCTGTAAAATAATAAATTATGATTGTTGTTAATTCACAGGCTAAAAAGTCAGATTCCTGAAATTAAACAGACACTAGAAATTTTAAAACACATGCAGAAGAAAAAGGTAAACTCTTTTGACTATCTAATGAGTATGAGAGAAGCTAACTGCCTTTCCACCCGAACAGAACACACTGCAAGAAATGTTGTGGAGAGCACACTCAGCGTGCCTTTATAAATAGCAGAGTTGGCTTTAAAGGTGCGGAGCGCTTCTTGAAAGCCAGTCAAAACGGGTTCGTGCCTGTAACGCCACCTTCCCTTGCAGTGGTGTGGAGCGGGCCGCCCAGCCCGGCTCTGTCTCCGTTTCTAGCGATGGCTGTGGCGTTTGTAAAGGTGCCCTTTTAAAATGCTTTATTTGTGGAGCTCTGACTTCAGTGTTGAAGTAAAAGTACCCAGAGTTCCACCAGAGTGAACACTGTGTCAGTGGCAAAAAGCAGAAAGGTGTGCTCTGTACTGTAAGTTTTCTGTCTTTGACATGAGTTTCCGGTGAAAATAGCAATTTTACCTTTTATTGTTTGTCTTAAGGACTCCACAAATCCAATGGAAACCAGATTTTTACTGGCAGATAATCTCTACTGCAAAGCTTCAGTTTCTCCTACAGATAAAGTTTGTTTGTGGTTGGGGGTAAGTAAACGGGGCATGCTCTGACCCCTGCGGGTGACCTGCAGGCGGCCGAGCGAAGGCGGTGTGGGCCGCTATCCCAGTGGCCGGGGGGGGACTGTGTGCCCCGGGGGGCTGTGTCCTGCCGCGGGGCAAACCCAGCGGGACCGTTTCAGCGCCTCACTGAAGGCTTCACGTTCCATTTTATCTGGTGCCTTCAGAGGATGGTAATTTTGCTGGATTTTCTTCCCCAAAAGCATAGTCGTGAATGTTCTCCTTACGGCTTCACGGCTTGAATTACCATCCCGCGCGGCTGGGGGTGGAAATGCGCCCAGCGGAGTCGAGTTTGGCCAGCGGCTTCCCATCCTCTCTACGGGATTTGTGTTTAGCATCTTGCTTTCCCTTTCCTCGTGGGTTTTTGGGGCAAGGTGGGAATTCTGCTATTCGCAGGTACCTGCCAACATTTGTGCTAAAGGTGGGTGGGATCAGAGCTCAAAGCACAGATTTCTAAGCGCTTAAGCGGTATCAGGTTGGGGTATTTTGTATTCAGAGGCTTCCTTACAGGTGGAGATAACCCGCTGATCTTTATTTTGAGACTTCTAAATCTCAGACGTTCCCAAATCCCTGCGCTGGCTGCCAGACAAAGCTGCTCACACAGTTAGGACGGAAAGGTTGAGGTGTGCCTGTCGAATGCAACAAAAACGGCCGCTGGAGTTGTACGGCACGTGAAGGGTGCCGCTGGGAACGCGGGGAGAGGTGGCCACCGGAGAGGCTGACAGCAGTCCACGGGGAGAGGGATGCCGCGTTGCTTAGCTGCCGGAAGAGAGCTGTGTTGAGTCCCTAGGGGGATGTATTACTGGGTTACGGAAGCGGTGGAGGCCTCAGGTGGACTCTGGCGTTGCTCATCCTGAGTCTGGTTGCCTTGGCCCGTCAGGGCAGCCTTTCATTAAGGGGATAAGTAGAAACCGGAGCCTGAAACGAGCCTGCCGCGGCGCATCCTTACAGGGCCCGGGTGAACGCCTTTCTTTCTCTTTTTAGGCCAATGTGATGCTTGAATATGATATTGATGAAGCTCAGGCTCTGTTAGAGAAGAACTTGTCAACAGCCACAAGAAACCTCGATCTTCTAGAGGAAGACCTGGATTTTCTTAGGGATCAGTTCACCACCACAGAAGTCAGTATCCTTTGGTTCTGTCTGCGGGGGAGTGGGCGCACGGGAAGGCTAATGCACAGGTCACGGCCAGCGTCCCCACATGCTTTCGTCTTGGGCCGTCTGCCCTTAACGTGCCGTAGCGCTCCAGGCACGGACCCTTCTCTGGCAGCGACACGGATGGTGCCCTCCCAGGGCTGAGCTGGGGGTTGGGGTGTCAGACGGTGCGAGTAGGGGCGTGTTGCCAGCTCTACATCCTGCTTTCCCTTTTCCCTTCTGAACGTGTGAGCCGTTTCCTTAACTCCACGCCCTCAGATATGGCTAGGGTTTATAACTGGGATGTAAAGAGAAGAAACAAGCAAGACCCTTCCAAAAACAAAGCATAGTTTTGCCAATTTTAAATGTGGTCTCAATTTCCAAATATTTTTTATTTAAACACCCCCCCAAGTTCATTCTCAAGGGACTGAGTTACTTTAAGCGTTTCAGTAAATGGTAAAAGATATAAAACCCAATGGTGAGCACCGTTTATTTATTTGTAAACCCCCGATTTGGTTCCATGCATGCTTCCTGAAATGAGTTATGGGAAAAGGCACCACCCCGGCCAGCCAGGGACAGGGTATTCGGATCAGAGCAGGCTGCCAGGAAGCGCTTCCCACCCGAGAGCGTGCCCGGAGCGGAGCGCCGGGGGGACGTAGGAGGGTCTGACGCTTTGTTTACGGCGCAGCGGGAGCGGCCGAGGGAACAGGCCAACAGAGTGAGGCGTGGCTTTTGTTTCAGCCCGTTAACCGGCGGCGTTCCCGGCTGGCGCTGCGGATCCTGGCTGTCCGCGGTGACTGGTGAGTGAACTCTCGGGGCGCACGCAGCAGGTAGTGCCTTGCCTTGGGCGGAGCGCGTAACCGGCACCACGTCAGGGCTGCGGGCGACCTCGCCCCCGTCTTGGTCACGCGCGCGCACGCACCCCGCTGGTTTCTGTGCGCGCGCTGAAGGACCCCAAAACGCTGATGGGCTTGTAAACAAGGCCCCCCTGGTTACTGCCCCTTCGACACCATGGCCAGGTCCAAGGTCTTGACACCCGCGGCCCCCCGGGGGGGACACCTGTCTGGGAGGGGAGCGGGAGTGCCGGTGGTGACATGGGGGCGGGTTTGTGGTTCTTACCGAGCCTCGCAGGACTGTTGCCTTTTACCTCTGCAGTTTCTTTCTAAACGGAAATGCTCGGTGGTGATGTCAGTGGCTAATATTCACACTCTGTGACTGAGAGTACAGGTTTTGCTGCAAGATAAATGCAAGTGTTTTAACTGTTCAGTCTCCACGTAAGACACAATATACCTGTAAATTTTTTGTACTTTTATTTCATGATACTAAAATAGTAAAACTAAACAGTTGTGGCAAACACCTGGTTTTGTGCACCTTTCTTTCCCTGCAGAAGCCAGGAATCTGACGTGTGATAAGGAGCGTTTCCCTCCTTTTAACTGGGGGTGGGCCATACCCTGTTTGGGGGCTGCCTGGAGCACAGAAATGTTCAGCTCTAATGTATTAATTACCTGGCTGATGGGTACCTGCCCGCTGCCGCACCGGGCGCGGGGCTGCTTCCCGCCCTTCCTTCCGAAGAGCATCAGCA